TCCTTCCCTTGAATGCTTCATTCCGAGGACCTGCCAGTGGCTCAGAACTGCCACGGATGTGCAGGAGGTGGGGAAAGAGGACGGGAGCTCCTGGCCCACTGGGGCAGCCCTGGCGCGGGCGGTGAGAACAGCTTATAGCCCTGTGTTCCTGCTGGGAATGGGAGCCCGAGGAGCAAGTGGACTGGGAGGAACATGGGGGCCGAGGCCCTTACTCTCACGTCCACACACTCGACACCCAGTATAGGCGGGCGGCCTCAGGAGGGGACCTGTGTCCCACCACCAGAGCAATAGGTAACCCTGCTTTGACCAGACCTGGTGCCAGCACCAGGGCAGAGAAGGGCCTCAGCTAGAGAGGCCTTTAGCCAAGGCAAACCCGGCCGGCACCCCTGGGGACTCCCTGGGTCTGGGCCAGGGGAACAGAATGTCCTGGTTGCTGCACTGAGGGGGAGTCACTCTGGGAGGGAGGCATGGATGGATGCGTGGATGGATGTGTGCGTGCCCTCTCCAGCCACCTCCCCTCAGATGTAATTGGAGCAGGATGATCTTGTGGTTCCCCTTAGTGCTGATTCCTTCTGACAGTCTGACTCTCCGGTCTCCAGGAGCATCGTGGGGAAAGGAGGGGCTCTGGGGAGGGATCCTGGAGGCGAGAGCAGCTGGATGGTAGCCACTCCTCAGGTGGTGACCTGGGTAGGGCCTATGTCAAAGTGTCAGGGTTTGGTCAATAGCGAGGACTCCTAGCCCTGGCTCTGTCTGCAGCCTCTGCCCCATCCCTGCCATCTCTCCCACTAGTCCCCCTGCCACCCCCTGCTCACTGACCTGGGCCACGCTGGTCCCTGTGATGTTGCTCAGAGCACGCTGGCATCCCTGCCTCGCTCACCGTTCCCTCCACCCAGCCTGCTCCTCCTCTGGGACCCACGTGGCCACCCCCACACTTCCTGCGTGGCCTGTTTAAACGGCAACCCCCACCCTGCCCTAGCGTGCCCCATCTGTCCCCCTAGCACTCCCCCACACTAATCACTTTCTAGCACATTCTTGAAGGCACAGTACTTCCTTGGCTCATTGGCTGCCTTCCCACGCACCAACATGGCAGCTCTGAGGGCAGGGATCGTTGGGTTCTGACGCACCCAGGGCGTGCCTCAGTAGGCGACGCAGGTGGAACCAATGCAGTGTGATGGCGAGAGCCGGCCAGGGACAGTGCTCACCCCTCATTCTGCCCGGCACCTCCATGAGGCGGCTGCTCTAATTACCTCCTAGTTTACAGAAGAGGAAGGAAGTGGTTTGCTCAGAGCAAGGCTAAGTCCAGGGCATGCCAGCGTCACATCCAGGGTCATCCCATGGGAACTCATGCATTTAGATCAGTCACCATGGGGCCTTGACCGTGGCAAGTCCCTTCTTTTCTCTGAGCCTCAGTTTCTTCATCTGGAAAATGGAACGATAGCAGGCTCCCCTTCACACGGCTGTGTTGAGAATTGATGCCGACGCATGAAAATGCTTTATGCAAAGAACTGGGCCTGGCTCCCGGGTGCTACAGGGCTCCCTATGCCTCCAGGTGTCTGGGCAAGGACACCCAGTGGGACTTCGCGGTCACATAGACCAGCCCAGGAGTTAGGATAACCCAGGATGATGCCACTCACTGGGGGGTTCCAAGATCAAGTCCCTCCTCTCTAGCACAAAGATGCTGCCTCCAGGGAACTGCTCACAGCTGTGGGGACAGGGCCGCCTGGGAGGGGCAGGGAGGGCGGGGACAGGAAGGCCTCAGAGCTTTCCCAGGCTGAAGGCCGCTAAGGAGCTGTTCTCCTGTTCCCCCGCCACAGCTGGGCCTGCTCCTGACTGGCTTTCCCAGACCCTGCTGGCCCCTGCCTTCTGGGGATAGACTTGGAGGAGCCTCACTCAGGAGGGGGAGGGGAAGGGCCTTTGGAAGAGGAGGACTCACTGGGGGCTTTGGACCTGCACATACGGTCAGCTTGGGACACAGCTGTCAAATCTCCCACGTAACACCAGGCCTCAGTTTCCTCACCTGGAAAACGGGTTTGGACTAGATGATTGGAGGCCAGACCAAGCACCCCAAGGCCTGCCCAGGAGACAGCTCCCTTCCTCACTCACTTCTGCATGAGAGGGCTGAGTGGTTGCCTATTTCCTGCCTCAGGCTGTCTGTCTGTAAAATGGGCTGGTTGAGCTGGAAAATTCTAGAACTCCCTCCTCCCTCTCATCTGTTGTAGCTGGAAGAGGAGAAAAGGTTAGTGCTGGGTAGACTCCGACCACACACCAGGCCCTTGTTGGACTCTACATGGCCCCATTTAGTTCCCTCCTGCTGCTGTAACAGAGTACTACACGCCTGGTGGCTTCGAAGCACACACATTCTGACCTTTCAGTCTAGACATCCAAAGTCCAAAATCAGCCTCAAAGTGCGGGCAGGGCCAGTTTTCTGTTTTCCGGAGCAGAAGCTGTGCTTGTTCCCCCGTCGCCAGGCCTTTCTCCCACACTCAGCGTCTCTCCTTTATTCCCACTCTGCCACTCCTGCCTCTTCCTAGAAAGGACCCTTGCTGTTCCAGCTGGCCCACCGGGACAATCCAGGGTAGTGACCCTGTCTCCACACCTGATTTGACCACATCTGCCAAGTTCTCTTTGATGAGGAAGGTGGCCCGGGCAGGTGTTCGGGGACTAGGCCGTGGGTACCTTTGGAGGGACGTTATTCAGATTGCTACATCTGTCGTGGAGCTCAGGTTCAAATCCCAGCTTCTGTCACTTTGTAGCTGTGTGGCCTTGGGCTAGGACCCAGTTATTCTGGCCTCAGTTTCTCCATCTGTAAAACAGAGACAATGGCAGGATGGCTAGCCACGTCGCAGGGGAAGCCCTGAGTGCGACGCCTGCTGATTCTGAGAGGGTGTCTAGTGGGAGTGGTGGCGAGAACGACAGCTCTCATTTACTGAGGACCTCCTTCATGCCAGACCCCAAGCCGAGTGCCGAGTCTATGTAGGCGACCCGCAAGGACGGGCGCCCGAGCTTGCCCTCACGGAACTTGCCGTGGAGCCAAGAAGGCAGTGTGAGAACAAACGATCGCGCGTCATTAGAGAATTACCACACCAGCCCAGCGCGGTCCGGTCGAAGCCACACCTCCGGGAAGAGAAGGGGCGGGCAGGGTCCACTCCCGAGTCTGCCTCACTCCCAAACCCTTATTTTACCATGACACTCCCAGCCTCTCAAGGCTGGCTGAGGTCAAGCAGAGGACCAGAGACGGGAAGTGACTTGCCAAAGGTCACACAGAGAGGGAACAGTCAAATGCAGATGCACATCTCTGGGCATCCTGCCCAAGGTTCTCCCCAGAGGAGACTCTGAGGCGTAATACTCAAAATAGTAGGAATGACCAGTGACAGGTCATGCTCGCTGCAGCTTGCTCCACGTCAGGAGGCAGATGGACTCTAAGTGCTCGATCTCATCCTATTTCCTTGATGCCCAAGAAGAGACTTATTATCCTGTTTCACAGATGGAAGAACCTAAAGTCTCAAAGAAGTCCAGTGACATGCACAGGTCACCCAGTGAGTTATTTGCTAAACCAAGACCCAGGATACTTAAGAGTAGAGCCTGGCTTGGAATCCCCCACACACCCCTGGCCCTCTTATGTATGTCTCCTAACCCTGTCTGCAGGGGCTCATGCCAGTGGGAGGAGGTTGGTGGCTGAGGGCCTCTGGGCTTAAGCCCCGGGGTGGCATTCTTCCTGAGGGCGCTTTCGGGGAAACGGGTGACTCACTGATGCCATCTAGCGGCCTTGAGGAGACATGGTACTTTCCTCTTGGAGCCCCGAGGACCCACAGACACAGTGGGAGATAAGAAAGTCTCCCTCGGGGAAACGGGTGACTCACTGATGCCATCTAGCGGCCTTGAGGAGACATGGTACTTTCCTCTTGGAGCCCCGAGGACCCACAAAGACACAGTGGGAGATAAGTCTCCCTCCTTCATCTAGCTGGATTCTTACAGAAACCTGATGAAGCTGAGCTAAAGGTGATCAAAATGATCATACTCGTTTTGTAGTTGAGGAAATCGCAGCCAGAAAGGGAATGATGTTCATCCATAAGAGGCAAACCTGGAGATTGGCAGGGAGACAGGACTGGCCCTGAGCCTGGGCAGACAGCCTGTCCAGCCTCCGGGAGTTCAGAACCAATGAACTCTCTGTGGTGCCTTTGTGTAGTCGAGCTCCCCCAGACGTGGCCTGGAGAGCCAATAGCCTGGCACTAAGAAGAGGGCGTCACTGACAGGACCTGGGTGTGGGCAGATCCTCAGGAAGAGAAGAATAGGTCCATAAGATGTGGACTGCCTTGGCCAGAGGTATAACCAGCTCCTCAGAAAGAACTCCCATGGTTCTTTTTTCTTTTTCTTTCTTTCTCTTTCTTTTTCTGGAGAGATTTTTGCTATAGGGTATAGGCACTTGCTAGAGAGACAGAGAGACAGAGAGACAGAAAGCAAGAAATCACCCCCTCCAGTGGGGATGGCCACACCACAGTCCCTTCTCTATTCTCCTCTGGGTGTTTTAGGCACACACACACAGGTGCCCAGTGTGAGTTTCAAGTCTCTGGGTCCAGGACCCAAACTGTGGTTGGCCATGTGGGAGTCCAGCGATGTAATCATTACGTCATCTGCTGGTCCCAAGAACCCCCATGGTTCTAAGGGACAAACATGACAGGAGAAGTCCCCTCATTCTTAGGGAAACCCGGCTGGAAAACTCTCATCATTCTTAGGGAAATATAGCTGAAGAAACTCCTCATTGTAGAAACAAATAACATGGGGAAAATATCATTCTTGGAGACAAACACAGCGGGAGAACTCCCATCATTCTTAGGGAAATATGGCTGGAGAAACCCCTCATTGTAGGAACAAATATCATGGTGATAAACTCTTCAGTCTTAGAGACAAGCATGCCTGGAGAACCCCCATGGTTCTGAGAGACGAACACAGTTCTTTACCTCAAGACAAGACCTTGACATATCGCTCACTCTTTCAACAAGGTGCTGACCGTGTCCTCTATCCTGCCTAGAGGGGTGCTCAGGACCTCATACCAACCAGAGACCCTGTTCCTGCTCTGGATCCCACCATCCGTGGGGCAAACAGGTAACAGACCATAAGAACTGGACAAGAGAGGCCAACAAAGCTCCCAGGACTGCCATGGCCTCTGAAGGCAGATGGAGCTAGCTGGTGTGATTAACAAAAACAGGGGAGCAGCTGGCATTTGCTGAGTGCCCACTGTGTGTCAGGCACCAGATTAAACACATTCTACACGTGAGCTAATTTGGTAACATCTTGACCCACTCTTACTAGCTATGTGACTTTGGGCAGATTGCTTAACCTCTCTGATTCTCAAGATTCTCATCTGTAAAATGGGATCCCTAATGCCTACCTTACCAGGTACTGTGAAGTTTACACGCAGTGGTGTGTGTGTGGTGGGATGAAGTGCCTGGAATACGACAGGTGCTCTGTAAATGATCGCCACCTTTGAAGTAGTATTTAAGAGAGAGATGCTGAGGGGGCCCCACAAACCTGTACTTACATTAAGTGTTATCTTAGGGTTGGGATAGTCCTATTTGAGGTCAGGGAGTGGACAGTAGGAAACTTATTAGGATTGACCCCTGGAAAGGAGGGGACTTGGTCAGGGCCTGGAAAGGGCAGGAGGCCCCATCTTCTCCTTCTCCTCCTTCTCGTCTATTTTCCTCTCTGAGCTCACTCTCCCCTCCATTCCTACCCCTGCCCTTTCCCTGAGCCTCTCTCCCTTGGCCCCAAGTTTCCACTGGCTTCACTGTCACCATCCCCAGCCAGAGGGAGCTTCTCCAGCGCAGACCTGTCTGTCCCGCTGCTCTTTTGCTCGCTGGTCCTCACACCACAGGACAGCGAGCTCCAGTGTGATCAGCAAACTCACCCCCCCTCATCTCCTTCCTGTGTCCACAGAGGCCCAGACTTCCAGCTACCTGGAACTATGCCAAGATCCCTGTAGCTACCTCCCTGCCACTCCTTCTACCCGGATCGTGCAGGCACCTTCATACCCAGGGTGACTGCCTGGAACATTCTCCCCTCTATTCTTGGCCTCATTTTCCCAGATGCCTGTATCACTCCTGGGGAGAGCCTTCCCAGGCCCCCTCTCCTACAGGTGCAGAGAGACCATCACCCTCCCGCTTCCCCACCCCCATCCTCAGGGTGTCCTAACACCTGGCTTGGGAGTCCATCTCTGTCCTAGGTGATGGTGTTACATTAACTGAGATTGCCATTATGGGATGCTTAGAACAGAACATCAACTGATGTCAGGTGTCAGTTACAACTAGGGCCAGGTCTTTGTCACCTTGCATGCCACTATTGAATAACGATAATGACACTCCCACTCTGGCCACTTGGTGCCAGATGTGGCTCTAAGGGTTTCATTCACAGTGTCTCCCCGAGTCCCTCTTACCCCTAGGAGGTAGGAACTGTTGTTTCTTGTGTAGATGAGGAAACTGAGGTCGAAGAGAGATCCTGCACAGAAGACCAGCCACCACAATGCCACCTCTCAGGCTCTGGGGTGCTGTCCCTTCTGCCTGGAGCATGTTTCCCTCTCCTCCTACCCTGCCTGGCCAATTCCCCAGCCTATAAAGACTTTTGGTACCCTCGGGCCTCAGTCTCACATCTCCTCCTCAAAGCAGTCATCCCTGTAACTGCTGTTACACACTCTCTTGCCACCCTCTTTGTTTCTTCACAAAATGTGTCTCAAGGTGTTTTAGGTTGCTGTTGATTTTTGCACACACTGCACAAACACACACACACACACACACACACACACACACACATAGTCACACTTGATGGTGGGAGCAAGAACTGCAATTGTGCTCAGTTTTACCCCTGAAGGGTAACATGGTTAACCAGTCTCCCAGATGGTTCTCAGAAATCATCTCCTCCTGGTCTGTACACTTTTGTTGGGTCCCCTCTGCCACAGCACGCAGGGCCTGCGTCACCAATAGGACATTGTGAAAATGCCAGAGGATGATTTCTGAGGCTGTCAGGAAAGGCACTGTGGCTTCTACCGACTCTCTGAGATCACTTCAGGGAGAAGCTAGTGGCCATATTGGGAGAACACTCAAACAGCCCTCTGGAGAGGTCCACATGGCCAGGAACCAAGGCCTCCCACCAGCAACCAGCAGGACCTTGCCACCATGCGAGTGAGCCTTCTTGAAAGTGAATCCTCCAGCTCCTGTCCAGCCTTCGGTGCCTGCGGCCCTGACCAAATCCTGACAGCAGCCTCATGATACACCCTGGACCAGGATCACCTAAGCAAGCCACTCCCAGATTCTAAATCCTTAGAAGCTGATTGGGAGAATAAGCAAAAATTTTTTAATGCTGCTAAGCATTAAAGTTTTGGAGTACTTTATCATGGAGCAGTATTGACTTAAATACATTCTAAATCCTTGTTATATAGATGTTTGGATAGGTGATTGCTTAACCAGGTAACAACTCCTGCTCAATGAGCCCTCTCTCTGTGCCAGGCTCCATGCTGATTACTTTCATGTGTTAATTGGCACAACAACCTTACAACCACTACTTTCATCCATTTCATTGGTAAAGAAACAGGCCCTTCCAGATTAAATAACTATCCAGCATGGCATTTGTTGCACTGGGACCTGCGCCCTGGAAGTTTGGAGCCACAGGCTTCCCTGCCACATGGCACTGCCTGGGTACTCTTGACCTATACCAGACCCCCTTGGCCAACTCCCTGGGCCAGGAAGGGCTCCATGCCACAGGTCATATGGTCTTGCTGAGGCTGGCTCTGGAACTGCATCAACATGGGAGCACTGCCCTACCGCCTACCTGTGGGTGTCAGTTGATGGCAGGCAGGGGAGGGAAGCTTCTTCCCAGTCTCTCCCACTGGAATGGAGTCACTGTGGAAGGTGCACGTGGGGCCAGAGGGCTCATATTCCTGCTTGTCATCACTGTGCTCCTTAGCATCCCTGCTTAGGTCACACACCCCACAGTGCTGCTGCTCACAGGAAGGACCTTATAGGCTCCATTCTCTAGATCTGAGGCATTGTGGTAGGGGAAGGTAACCCCATGCCCTTGTGGCTATACAAGAAGAGGAGCCTAAAAGATGGGGCTTTGGGGAGCACATAGCACTCACACCCACATAACACAAGAGGGTGGGGCTGTGTGGTCACCCTCTGTGAAAACTGTGAAATGTGATCAGCCCCAGCAGCCTGTGTCCAGGTTTGGCCTCTACCCGATACACTCACTGTGTGACTTTAGATGTGGAGAGTGTTTAGTCTGAGCAAATATGATGACCTGTAGACGCATGCAGAAACAGGTTCTGTGACCTGTCATTTGCACAGCGATGAAAGCAATTTGCATGTGAATATGCTAGCTGCCTGAAACTGCAAAGCAGTATTGGTTTAAAGAAAGCCACAGGTGTTTATCAGAATTTGCCCCAGAAGAATCTGCTCCAAAAGATCAGAGAAACTACCTGATGCCATTTGTCTTCACATCTTCAGCTTATTAACATCCAAAAACAATTGGCTTTGCATTCCATTTCCTCTTCCCCCATTTTCTGCCCTTTAAAAGAATAAACCTACAACCAATTCAAGGTCACGACTATCTCCATCAGAGAAGTTGGGCCCACTCGATCCTTGCTTTTCTATACTTGTATGTCTTTGTGTGTTTATTTGTATGTTTATTTCTAATCCAAAGCCCTCCTTCCCCCCACTCAGAAAAATACATTCTGCCTACAAGTCCTGGCAAAGTGGTGCACCATATGGATGCATTTTTCTGGAATGCAAGGCCAGTTGTTTCCAGATGTTAATTAACCGAAGACATGAAGACAACTGGCATCATGTGGTTTCTCTGATCTTTTGGGGAGAATTCTGATAAGCACATGTGGCTTCCTTTAAACCGATACTGCTCTGCAGTTTCAGGCAGCTAGTGTATTAACATACAAACAATAGCTCATGGAACTACAATTCTGAATGTGTCTAAAGGTCATCATGTTTACTCAGATTGGCCGCTCTCCACACTTAGGTAATTTTCTTAACCTCTCTGTGCCTCTGAAAATGTTATCTGAAAAAAGGCAGCCACTTGGGGTATGCGGGGCCAGGGAACAAATGAAGGATGTCAGAAGCAGGATGAATATCCAAGACCTTAGACTACTTTTGGTTTTGTTTCTTTATTAGACAGTTGAACAAATTAAGGCCAATGGAGGCAGACTCTGCTATCTGGAATCCACAAGGCCATGCAGGGCAAAGGATCACTGTGGGAATAAGAGAAGGGGGCACAGAGGGCTGGGCTTGGCAGAACTCGGCGATCCAGGCGAGGGGAAGGCTAGTTCACATGGGGCAAAGTCTGGCCTCTATTCAGAGTCTCCCAGCCTTCATAAGCTTCCTCCAACACCCCCCTGCCACCAAGATGATAGAAAGAGCCATTGCTGGGGCAAGCAGGTAGCTCGGAGGTAGAGGTGGCTGGATCCCATATGACTGACTGAGTGGTTCAAGTGCTAAACCCAGCAGCTTGAAAAACACTCAGGGAATGTGTGTGTGTGTGTGTGTGTGTGTGTGTGTGTGTGTGCCCAAAATCCAAGAGGAGAATGGAGGAGAAGGGATTATGGCATGACTGCCTCCCTGATGGGTGATCTCTCACTTTCTCTCCCTGGGTTTCTCTCTGGCAGGTGTATGTACCCCATAGGAAGGGGGAAAAGAAAGGAAAGAAGAAAGAGAGAAAGAGAGAAAGAAAGAAAGAAAGAAAGA